TGAAGATGTTACCTAGCTGGGTAATGAAACATTTGCAAGAAAACAGCCAAGCTCGGAGAACTCCAGGGACTCCACGGTTCAACCCTGAGCTACACATATTTGCTTCTATTGGTATCTGCCTGACTGTCTGGGTTGAGATGCTAAGTAAGGATGTGTATAGATAGGACTTGGATGGGAGACAATCATCTGATCCCAGGGCTGTAAATTAGATTGGGAAGTTGAAAAACATTCCAGGAGATGGCAGTGGCGAATCACTTCCATACTGCTGCCGAGAAAACAACCTGGATGTATCCATGAAGTCACCAGTTCAAGTTCCTTTGAAGGAGACTGTTTTTTATACCTTGCACTAAGGTGGCTTGTTCAACTTCGGCTCATATTTTGGCTTATAAACCATGATCAGTGTCTTAGCATGTTGTGTGCTCAGCCACTTCTGGTGTATTCCGTAAAACATGCTTCACTGACTGATTGCAGTAGGTGAGTTAGACTTTTGGAACTGAATGGGACTCACTAACCGTAAACCCTTACATTTGCACTCCAGCAAAGATTCTTTTAAGTGCCAGTGAACTGTAGTGTATTGGACTTTCTTAAAGGCTCAGTCAAAACAAAGTGCCCCTTTGGATCCATGCCCAGGCCTTAATCTTACCAGTCTCCCTGAGCTTATATACAATATGTGTGTTCACACCATTATTTTGATTCAGGGAGGGGGAAGCTGGAGCCTCCCAGGTGTTCAGCTCCCAACACCCCCCACACTGGCCATGCTGGTGGTGACTGCAGAAAGAGGCTGCTAATTCTCAGCTTCGCTGATGACCAGGAATGGTGAATTCTTGACCTGCAGGCTGATGCTTGATTCTGTCTTCCCATTACAGGCCTCCACCCCCAATTCTGAAAAGTACGAAAGCATCAGACCAGATTTTTCCTTCTCGACCGGCACCTTTGCCTCCTATATAAAACGTCTCATTGCTCTTTTGCAAGCGCCCCCCCTCCTTCTTAGGGCTGCCTCCACCTTCCATCAAGTGTCTCTTGAAACTGTCTTTTCCTCCTTGGCACTGGATAAAGAGGAAAGAAAGTACAGAAGCAAAAATGAAATGCAAAACCAAGGAATGTAAACTTCTCAAATACCTCTCCAGGAACTAAAATCACCGAGTCTGTGAAAACTGAGTTAGCGGCATTTGGGTTGCATTGCTGGAAGATATCAGTTTGAACTGGAACAATGTTTTGGGTGCAACTGCATCTTCCTTGTTTTTATGATTAGATTTAATCATAAGAAACTTGACATATGCAATCTCCCCCCACCCCGACCGCCAGTCCCTGATGGTTTTTCTAGAAAATAAAATCAATTAAGGGAAGGTGGACATAACATTTTTTAAGGACCAGGAAGCTGATCAAGAAGTCTAGTTGTGTTTAATTAAAATCTCTCTTACAGAAAAGTGTCATTATCAAAAAAAAAAGAGCAGTTCTTCATGGTTGGGGAGAGAAACCAGATGTGGACAGCACCGAGTGGTGGGTGCCTGTCCTTTCACCAAGACATCCTCTGCCTTGAAAGCATGGTGGCTATTCTTGCATTTTTCTTCTAAAAATAATGCAAACAACAGACATGTATAAATGTGCATGTGGCACTTTAAATGATAGGACAGCCTAAACTATGACGAGAGGATCAAGGCTTGCACGTAACGCGCTCATGTTTGCATCAGTTGCTCAGAATACAAAGCCAGGAGGATGCCAAAGTCAATCTGTGGCTGAGAGGCATGGTTTGACGGCTGCACTTTTCTTAAAAACGTTACATCTGTCTTCACCTGTAGGTGCATCAAGGTAGATTGGAGCTGCAGTCCAAAATAGACCAACCCAGGAATGGAAACAAAATTCAATTGCTTTGCATGGATTGGAATTTCTTGTCTGGAAATGCATGAAGCTAAAAGACACGGGGGAAAATGTGAAGAATAATGACTGTGCAATTTTATTCCTCTCTGGTTAGAAGTAAGGCCCACTGAGTTCAATGGAACTTTTGTTCAGTGGGTGCAATATTGCAAGCTTAGCCAAGTGGGGCTACCAGACCAAGGGCTTTGACTGTTCATCGCTGGCACTGACATTGTTTTGTAATGAAAAAAGATGGAAGAATTGGTAGGGAAACAGGAGAAGAGTATAAATGGAAGATGATCTTCCCTCCTGCTTGGGAGTGTCTGCAGGATGTGGTCAAAAGGTCCAAGGTGGTAGCCATGATGTTGTGATCAAAGCTCTTCCCTTTTGAATGCACCTAACTAAAAATGGGCGGAGCTTCAATCACACTATAGGTAGTCCTCATTTAGCGACCACAATAGGGACCAGCAACTTGGTCGTTAAGTGAAACCATGACAGTGCTTATGATCTTCCTTCAGCTTTGCTTTACAGACCTGTGAAGGTTGTAAGTGCAAGGATTGGTTGTAAAGTAACTTTTTCATTACCTTTGTGATAGCAAATGGTTGCTAAATGAGGCAGTCGCTAAACGAGTACCTGTATCATGGCTACCAACTAGATTTTTTACCATGCCCTGCAGACACCCCTGGTTCTGCCAAAACTGAGGCAGGTGAATTGCACAACAAACATCTTGTCTGGGTACCCTCTCCTTCCTGAAAGTTGATGAAATGCATTCTTAGCACGTTCATAGTTTTTAATGCTGTGTGTGATTGTCAACTCAGTTTAAACAGCTAATTTTATCTCTGCTGGCTGACCTTACAACTGTGTTTACTAAAAGATCTTAGGGATGTTTAACCATTTTTACTTAACAAGCACTAACTTAGGAAATTCTTCTAATTAACCACTATTAGTTACTCTAAATGATGGTACAAGACTTGCGCCTTGGTGGGGAATATGTGGCTTAAAGGTTCAAAAAGCACTTAGGGCTGGCTCTCCTGGATGTGCTAGAATTCTAAACTTTCTAGCTGTCAATTTTTTTTTTAAGCATATGCTTGAAAAAGTAAGGAAAACCGACGCCCAAGTTTAAAAATGAAAACCGTACTTTCCACCGATTACTGTTATGTGACATTTGCCCAGTTCAGGAGTTTTCAAACTTTTTTCAGGCCATGGGATCTGTTTGTTTGATATAACCTCCCGGATCCCTGATTAAGACAGGGGAGGTGTCTGGATGTCTGCTGACAAGCCTCGCCCTTTCTGGGGGCCAATGGCTGACAGCGTTCAAGTCCCCCCCCAATTCCATTCTGGAGATGGGCTGCCCCCCCACCCCCCAGTGCCACAGAATTCAAGTCCTAACAGAACCTCAGGGTTGCATGGAACTCTGTTTGAAAAACCCCGGTCTAGTTCATTAGACTGTTTTTGGGGACTGAAAGAAATGTCTCATATTGGATACGGGACACAGAAGAGGTACCAGGGTGTCCCCTTCTGAAGATGGTCTGCCTTGTTCACGGTCACAAAAATGCTATGCCGGTGCAAATCCGTGCCAGCTTTTCACTTTTGGTGTGCTTTTCCATGCCAAGCTGATGGGCGCTGCTGAAAATACAAAGAGACAGATGGAAACAATGGTGAAACTGTGATGCTGATTATCTGAACGCCCAAACTGCTGATTAATATGTTAACTTCATGGGCAACCTACACGTTCTCCACCTTCACCTATTTGCTCTAATATCTGCCTTGGTGCAAAATCCATTTTATTATCTGAACCAGTGTTTCTCAACCTTGGCAACTTTAAGACCTGTGGACTTCAACTCCCAGAATTCCCCAGCCAGCCATGCTGGCTGGGGAATTCTGGGAATTAAAGTCCATGTATCTTAAAGTTGCCAAGGTTGAGAAACACTGATCTGAACCCGTTGACAATGGCATGAGCACTTTAAATCTGAGTAGCCTGCTGAAGAATCCAATCTGTCCTTAAAATTGTTGCTTTTTCAGATCAGTCAGGGATGTTTATATTAGCAAAACCTTGTTGGATTGAATTGGGCCAATCCTTGCACCACTGACTGAACCAGAGTTTAAGTGTTGGTGAAAAGATTCTGCTAGCTTTTGGGTCATAGACTGGCACTGGTGTTAGACGAGGGGGTGGGAGTCTCTCCTGGTTAAACAGAATATGGTGAGTTCATAATGGGCAAGGATTCTCACAACCCAGTATACTATCTTCAAAGAGTGAAAATAATTATGAATAAATTATGTAAAAGATTTATTCCCCAGTGGCAGTAGCTGTTCAACATTCTCATTTGGTAAATGTACCCATCATTCTTGCCAAGAGTTTTTGACAGCGTTTGTACATATTCCTTTCTGTTAATAAAATACTTGAATGATTTAGTCTCACTAAGATTGCCCGATACGTGTGTATCGCAAACCCCACTGGAGTCCTACAGCTGAATGCCATTCTTCCAGAGCCGAATAACTCCTGCTCCTGTTTTAATCGCCTTCCCCCAGCTCACAGTTCACCCTAAGCTGTGCTTCAACCATGGTTTATTGAAGAAGTCACAATTGGCTGGGCTGTGCCAGGCCCACCCTCAATATTTTGGAGGGGGCAGAGGTGAAGCCCACACATCTGAAGGCTGCAGAGGTTGAGAAACACTGGCCTGTCAGGAAGAGGCTAGTGAAAATGACAAACCCCTATTGTTCGCTCAGTGTGTCGCTGACAAGTCTCCCATTAGAGATGAGATGAGGGGGCTTCCCAATTCCATTTGCATTCTTGTCCCACAGTCTTCCTGGCTCATTTGTGGAACTGCAGAGGATTTGGGGGCTGCAGACCTCCTCCTCTCCCTTTTGTAACTGATCTGGGGTCTTCATCTCTGCAAGAAAGAGACTCTGTTCACGCGGTACCACTGCTAAGTTAGATAGCTTGTAGGGCTATGCTTGGTTAGGGTTAAAGTTTGTGATGGCAAACCCAGTTTATTTAGCTGGGTTCACCCAACATGCAAAACCAGGTCAGGTAGAGGTCTGACACGCCCGGTTTGGAGTCAGGTGGTGCCTCAAGTCAATGAATTAAATAAGCCGATGAATTTGCACCATAGGCTAAACTAAGCTAGGTTTTCTGTGCCTTAAGGAGTCGTGTGAACCCAGTAGCCCCTTTGCTAGCTTCTGGGCCAGTACATCGGGTCCTGGCGAAGCCAGCTCTGTGAACCCAGCCGACACAGCGTGCAAACGCGGCGAAGGGGTGAATCCCACCAGCGAGCACCGCTGCCCCAAACCACCAGCGGGGCTCTCCTGACTTAAGCCAGCAGCGCGATAAGTCGCGGCAGCCCGGAACGTTCCCAACAGCCTTGCCAGGTAGGCCCGCTGTATAACCCGGTTGGGGAAGAGCCCATTCGCCCCCCAAGCGCCGCCGCCCGCCCGCCGGCCCCGCCCGGTGTTGCCAGCCGCGGCTTTCCGCCCGTTCCAGACGGGAGACGGGACCGTTGAGCGAGCGAGCGAGCGGGCGGCGGACCGGCGAGGCGCAGCCCGAGAGCGCCATGGGGCTCGGGCGAGGGGCTCCGTCGCCCTTCCTCCTCCTCGGCTTGGCGAGTCTCCCGGCGGACTTCGGTGAGCAGAAGCCGGACCGGCTGGTCGCTGGCAGCCCCTCCGGCCGCCGCGGGGAGCCCCCAGCCAGGCCAACCGCGCCCCAGGGCTCGGTCCGGGGTCCCCGGCCCCACTGGGTGACCCGCGACCCTCGCCCTCCCCATCCCTCCCCTATCGTTCCCACGTGCCATGATAGGGATAATGGTAATAATTGCTAGAGGGCTTGATCATGACCTCACCAT